TTGGATCTTTTCTGCAAAATCGTATTAAATCATAAACATCTATGGATTAAATAAATTTTATCAAATATCAAATTTTGACAATCAAAATAGGAGCAAGCATAATGTGTTGTTTTGTTCTTCCAAACGACTTTTAAGATGTCGAATGTGCTCTAAAACATCAACAGAGACTATATTAAAGTTATGGAAGAATGCCGCATAAAAATAAGATTATAGTTACGCGCTTGAGTCCTGCAGATTTTTACGGCACAGCATAAATTGAGAAAAAATTAATATGTAACCGAAAGTTTGATGTCAATAAAGAAAAGCTGAGCTGGTTAGAGGCGCGTGAAATATGCCTTGATAAAACCAAGCCATTTTCAATATTTTTAAAAAGTTTTTAAGATACATCATATGTTGAGATAGACATAAAAAAACAGGTTGGTAGACCTACTACCAAATCCTTCAAAGATTTTTTGCTTCTGATGTGGCCTAATGGTAAAAAATATCTATACCTAAACTACAACATATAAAATCCGTAATGCATCTGATACCCCAGGATTGTAAACATTTTTTTAGTAGCTTACGAGGTGAGGAGGGGTTGGAAGATGATGTGGACGGATTCACAGGGACTCCCGACTTTCAAATAGAAGCAGAAAGTCAAAAGTAACTGATATTACTATTTTAATTGTAATATCAGTTAATTTAAGTTTTAATCAAATTTTGTTTATTGTTTGAAAATAAATAATTGTCGTTTTTCTTTAAATACATACATTTGACTTATAATCAGATAGTAGTTTCCATAAATTGCAGAAAGGAACCAACCAACAAAAGCCTATTTTTTTCATTACCTTTACACATAATATCAAAAATTCGAACTGAAGAAATTATTAAATTATATTCCTTAAACCTCCATAAGTCCAAAATCGGCATAAAATTTACAGATAATTTTAAAATTATTTAAATATTTGATACCTCAGTTTCATCAGGGTGTTGGTTGATTTCATTCTGCAGAAAGGCGACCAATTTTTATACTGTAACCCATAAATCTATCATTAAATTAAACGTAATCTGTAAATTGTATTATAGAAGGAAATAAAAAACTGTAATCAAATTTGTACATATTCGCTCTTCGTAATAAAATTTAAAGGCTTTAAAGACGAATCCGTATGACATTTTTAAATCTTATTTTCAGTTTAATCAAGGATAAGTAAAGGCTATAAAAACTACATATTAAAACGTGCTGCAAAACTGTAGTTGTTTTAGTTTTAATAATTCAATAAAAATAAAACGTTGCTTTAAAAACAGGAAGGGGTTTTTCCGAGAATGTGTCTAGCCAACATTTACCGCATGTGTTTAATTGAATTTAAGTTGGGTGATTGAGCAGGCCACAGTTTAAAACATTTTGCGGTAAGCAAAAAATAATATTTTTCCTGGATGATAAAGCCAATATTTTATATAACAAAATATTACCAATTGAATTAAAATCTGTTTTTTGCTAATATCAATTTCATATACTATACTCTCTTAAAATGAATTAGTCAAAAATGACTAATTGTCATAGCGAAACAGCCACCACTAATAGCTGCAGTCCACATCAATTTGTTCCCGGACATTTAACATGTAGGAATGTAAAATTGCCCGCTGAATCCGAAAATGTCATCAAAAGTAGTTTTTGATATATATTCCATAATAATTGGAAAATTGACTATATCTTAAAGACTGTTACACTTTTATAAGTTTTGACGACATTTTTGGATTCAGCGTACAATAATACATAGAAATTTACTACTAAATGTCCGAGATCCAAATTGCTGTTGACTAGAATTATTAGTGCCTGCTTTTTCGCTATGACAATTAGTCATTTGTGATTAATTAATTTTAAGAGAGTAGTAAAATGATTTTATCACTATATACAGTGGGTCCACGGATGGACTTAAGGACTTAACTATACTTAAAAATATTTATTTTCAATTTTTCGAAGAAAAGTCACTTTTCATAATTTCTTCTGATTGTTAAGTACACTTTACATTATGTGTTTTATCATATGACTTGTCATATGATTTGGTCATAATATAAATGATATGATTTGTATTTGAAATGATCTTCAGAAGTCTATGTTTACACCATGTGACAGCTTATGATAGAGTTTATGACTTTAGTTAACTGCTTGTCATGATGTTGACAGTTCAAAAGATGATGAAGGACGACACTTTATTAGTTATTGCAATGTGCCTTATAGTGCTAGTGCAAAAACGAAGACACGTATTATTGTGTAAACGCAAAAAGAGAAGAGTGAGGCAGTTGTGGGCACGTGAGTGGCTTCTTCGGCGGGACTATGGCTATGGTGCTACAAATTTCGTGTTTAAAGAATTAAAATATGAAGATCCTACCAGCTTTAAAAATTATTGTAGGATGTCGTCGAATACGTTTGACACACTTTTGTATAAAGTAGAGCCTTTACTAAAGCGTCAAAACACGGTCCTTCGTGAAAGCATCTCTGTAAGAACTCAGTGAGTAATAATTTATTTATTTTATTTTCGACTTGTCTAATCGTCCGATCATCGGATGAATAAAATATATTAATCGTCCGATCATCGGATGAATAAAATATATTAATCGTCCGATCATCGGATGAATAAAATATATTAATAGTCCGGTAATAACATAACGTTAGTTACGTCATAATTATAATCCGCTTTTGTTCACCGACCGTTTAATATTTGACAACAAGCTAGATAGCTTATATGGTAGGGCGTTCGCTTGTCATGCGAGAGGTCCCGGGTTCGATACTAAGAAGCTGTCGAATTTTTTTTATTTTTTTATTTCATAAATTTGTTGTTTCTTTGTTAAACAGTATTCGGTTGGGTTGGGTTGGTTGGTTTGTTTTAGTTTTATCGTAACATAAAATCTACTAGAAGTTGTCGAACTTTTTTTATTTCATAAATTTGTTGTTGCTTTGTTAAAAAGTGTTTTATTTTTATCGTAACATAAATTTGCCCATTTTAGTTGGGTTTTTTGTTCAATGGGGCGGGGGGGGGGGGGCCAATGGGGCGGGGTCGGTTGGGTTGTGTTGTTGAGTTTGAGTCCGATAATCTTTTTATTATTTATTTATGTTATTACCGGACGATTAATATATTTTATTCATCCGATAATCGGACGATTAATATATTTTATTCGACTTGTCTAATCGTCCGATCATCGGATGAATAAAATATATGAATCGTCCGATCATCGGATGAATAAAATATATTAATCGTCCGGTAATAACATAACGTTAGTTACGTCATAATTATAATCCGCTTTTGTTCACCGACCGTTTAATATTTGACAACAAGCTAGATAGCTTGTATGGTAGGGCGTTCGCTTGTCATGCGAGAGGTCCCGGGTTCGATACTAAGAAGCTGTCGAATTTTTTTTATTTTTTTATTTCATAAATTTGTTGTTTCTTTGTTAAACAGTGTTCGGTTGGGTTGGGTTGGTTGGTTTGTTTTAGTTTTATCGTAACATAAAATCTACTAGAAGTTGTCGAACTTTTTTTATTTCATAAATTTGTTGTTGCTTTGTTAAAAAGTGTTTTATTTTTATCGTAACATAAATTTGCCCATTTTAGTTGGGTTTTTTGTTCAATGGGGCGGGGGGGGGGCCAATGGGGCGGCGTCGGTTGGGTTGTGTTGTTGAGTTTGAGTCCGATAATCTTTTTATTATTTATTTATGTTATTACCGGACGATTAATATATTTTATTCATCGGATAATCGGACGATTAATATATTTTATTCGTCCGATTATACGGACGACTAGCAATCGGACGATTAATATATTTTATTCGTCCGATTATACGGACGATTAATATATTTTATTCGTCCGATTATACGGACGACTAGCAACGGCCTATTTTATTCGTCCGATTATACGGACGACTAGCAATCGGACGATTAATATATTTTATTCGTCCGATTATACGGACGATTAATATATTTTATTCGTCCGATTATACGGACGACTAGCAACGGCCTTTTATTTTAGGCTATAATTAAGTATCTATTGCAGATTACTGGTGACTCTGCGTTATATTGCAACAGGTGACAACTTCCGAAGTTTGAGCTATGCTTTCCGACTTTCAGTACCCGTACTGTCACAATTAATTCCGAAAACAGTGAATGCAATTTATACGGTTTTAAAAAAAGATTATTTACGAACCCCAAAAACAACGGATGCATGGCAAAAGATCGCCAGCCGATTTGAGACCATGTGGAATTTTCCAAACTGTCTTGGAGCCCTTGATGGCAAACATATTGCATTTCGTGCAAGAAAATCGGATGGTTCCTTTTACTACAACTACAAAAATTTCAACAGCATTATTTTACTGGCTTTGGTGGATGCCGATTATAATTTTATATATGTGGATGTGGGATGTAATGGACGTGCTAGTGATGGTGGGGTGTACAGTAATAGTACCTTATGTACAGCTATTCAAGACAATTTACTTAATTTTCCCCAAGATACCACTTTACCAAACTCGCAAGTCCAAGTACCGTTTGTTATTCTCGCGGATGATGCATTTCGGTTATCCAATCGAATAATGAAACCATGTGCACAAAGATCCAGTCAAGAAGACAAAATTTTCAACTATAGACTAAGCCGCGCTCGACGTGTTGTGGAAAATGCATTTGGAATACTTGCGAACCGATTTCAGATATTGCAACGAGACATCCGGTTAGATGTTGAAAAGGTACAAAGTATTGTTTTAACGTGCTGTACTCTCCACAACTTTATTAAAGAAAAGGAAGGTAAAAAAGTTTACCTAAAAGGCGTAGACATTGAAAACGTGAATAATGTCTCATTTAGTGCAGGAGATTGGAGGTCCAATGTATGTATGACAGATTTAGCAAGATGTAGTGTTAATCGTTCTCCTGACGATACAATCTCTATTAGGAAACGCTTTGTTCAATATTTTAATAATGTAGGTTTTGTATCTTGGCAATGGGAAGCTATTAAAAACTTTAATTTCTAGAAAACTGTTTTATTTATTTAGGTTAATAGCATTTGGTGGGTGATCAACATAAAGAATTGTCGCTGTCTCGTTCTGTTTCTTGATTGTCAGCCATTTCTTTTTGCTGTCGTACAGGATTTTGTTAATCTCATGTTTGGCGTCAGTTAAAACGTCTTCATCGTCTATAGCCCGCAGTTCCCGGGCCACATAGTCAGCAAATACTTCAACATCACTTTTGGAAGTTTCCACAGTTGATGAAGCCGTTAATTTCGACCCTAAAATATCAAGCATGGAAACGGTCTTTGTCATAATCGGATCGGATATTTCCACTTCCTGGCGCTTTCTTTTCCCTCTAGAGGATTGTGGTGGTATACTCTCGGTTACACTTCTTTCGGTAGATGAAGAATCCATAGTGGCGCTGTCGATATCCAGAGCCTCTTCTTCATCATCATCAATAACTTGAGTCTAAAATAATAATAATACAAAGAAAAAATCTATCACAACGGTATAATGTCGTCGCCTACCAATAGGTCCAAAGAGCTTTTAGTTTTTCGTGTTTTTACATGAGGTATCAAAAACAAAAGCTTTTCGTACCACCAAACTGATGGCTCGTACATTTCTTCTGTGCCAGCACCGGACTTTTGGCTGTCGTGCATTTTGGTGTTCTCGTGTGAAAACGACTGCCTCAAGCTGGTTAATTTTTTCTTAACATCGTCTACTGTTACCCGCCCATCAATGTTTTTTAATTCATCCGTAATTTTCTGCAGTTTATCAGTCCTGGCGTGTTTATTGCTATAAAACTTATGTTTTGTGTCGTATAAACATGGATAAGTTTCATATTGCTCTATCAGAGCTAAAGTTAGGTCTCTGGACCACTCCATCTTCAAACCACAACATAATTAGCTATTTAATTTAAAAATACATGGAGTGTAACTTACCTTGTTTACCATTTTAACTTAAGAAAATTAACACAACCACTTTGACTTTGACTTTGACGTTAAGCTTTTAATAAAGTCAATTATAAAGGTAGTGAAATTTACGGTAATCATATGAAATATCATTTGAAAATAGATACGGTTCTAATTGCCAAAATTACTTGTGATTCCTTATTAATTGCTATGTGACCGCACTTATGAGTACTTTTAAGTGATAAAATCATACAGTGTAAACTTGTAATATTTACATATGACCAAATCATGTGACAAATCATGTGATAAAACACATAATGTAAAGTAAGCTTTATATAAATACCATTCACAATGAGAAACTTCTATTTTGTTATACAGGGTGCGCAAAAAAAAACAATTGTACATTTTGCAAAATTAAAAATTGTTAAATATTTTTTTTTGAAGGTCTAATATGAAGAGCTTGTAAGGAGAAACCAAAAAGCCAAATAAAGTTTTTTCATCATCAAATTTTGAAAATCAGTATTTTTGCTCACCCTGTACAACTAAATGGATGTTTCTCAACTCGAATCGTATTTATATAACAAGCAAAAGAAATCTTGAAAAATGACTTTTTCTTTCCAGAAATATTAGGTGTTTCAGTGGAATTAATTTAAAAGGCTTATTGAACATATTGATTTTATGTTTGATAATAACTTTTATGAATTTGCCTAAAATTTAAGTAAAAAATTAAATTATGACATAAATTTAACTTTGACTTTGAATAACTTTTAAACTCCTTGGTTTATCGAAAAATGAAGGGATACATTTTTTGTAGAGCGTTCAATTTCCTACAAAAATATATATTACGCATAAAAATCTGTTAATTACTTTGTGAGCTAGAAAATTATAAAAAAAATCCCATGGTATTTAAATGGAAAATAGAAATTCTCTATCCATGCGCGACCTCTAAATATTTAAATAAAGAGGTGATATTTCATTGCGAAATTTCAGAAAAAATAAATAGTCGATTTTTTTTAACCAGCCTAATATATATAGGGTAAACCACATAGTTATTGGAATATTATTTATTTAAAATTTATATATGCCGTTGCTTTAAAGATTTTAGTTTTTTTCTTATAAATATATAAAAAGGATAGTTTGTTTGTTTAAACTATATTTACGTTTACTTAAAAATAAGAATATATGAATTTTTAATAATAGTTTTATAAAAATATGCAAAAAAGTATAGTAATTGGAGATTTTATATAGTAATTGGACACATGACCATAGTTATTTGACACACAATTTTTATATAAAAATAACAACTTTACATCAAATAACATAAATTCTTTAATATTTTTTAAATATAAATTGCTGTTTTAGGTAATTTTTTTTATTTTGTTTTTGTAAATATCATATAATTCATATATTTCTTTCTCGGATTCCTCATCCCTTTTCTGGATTCTGAAGGTAACTATAGTTAGTATACTAATTCTGAAATAGGTAGTATCATTAAGTGTGGTATCTCCAGTTTTTGAAGCATTTATAATGTTTAGGCCGGAACAGGATGATTTATATATTTTTTCGGGAGGTATGTTAAAATTATTTTCCGAATTTATTAATTTTGTTGCCATTAGTTTTTTATGTTCTCTATCATGCACTGTATTTAAATCACTGTTATTCTGCAAGATGTCCTGTGATAAAGAAATCACTATATTACTAACTCAAAAGCAGCCTCTAATAATTTCAATAGCAATTTTTATCCAGGACATTTAGCAGTCAATTCCTATGAAATATTATTCGCTGAAACCAAAAATTTCGTCAAAAATTATAAAAGTAGAACAGGTTTTGAAATATAATCAATTTTACATTTAATATGGAATTGACTATATCTCTTTATAGTTTTTGACGGTCTTTTCGGATTTAGGGGACAATTTTACATAAGAATTGTCTGGTAAATGGTCAATTCTCATATAACTTGTTCCGATGCTGTATCCACTTATTTTTGTGAAAACTAATTCTCGCTCAAGGTTTTTTTTAGTGTAATAAGCATGTAGCATTTCAAGGTAATGGGAACTTAAATTATGACAACCCTAATCTATTAATTTTTTCCTAAAATGCAGGCTTTATGTTGCAAATGTCACATAAGTTACCGGTCACCAACTGCAACATCCTAACATCGATGAATATTTCAACAAAATGGCCGTTCAAACAACTAATGTTAGTGCTTGATTAACTAAAAATAGACTTAAGATTGACAAAAAATTATTTTATCCGAAATCGGCAGTAAAGTAGTCAACAATCGTAAATTAAAATAAATCGGCAGTAAAGTTCTACTTTACTGCCGATTTCGGATAAAATAATTTTTCGTCAATCTTAAGTCTATTTTTAGTTAATCAAGCACTAACATTAGTTGTTTCAACAGCCATTTTGTTAAAATATTCATCAATGTTAGGATATTGCAGTTGGAGACCGGTAACTTATGTGACATTTGCAACATAAAGCCTGCATTTTAGGAAAAAATTAATAGATTAGGGTTGTCATAATTTAAGTTCCCATTACCTTGAAATGCTACATGCTTATTACACTAAAAAAAACCTTGAGCGAGAATTAGTTTTCACAAAAATAAGTGGATACAGCATCGGAACAAGTTATATGAGAATTTACCAAATGTCCGGGATACAAATAGAGTATGATATTGAACACATGTCCAATAATGAAAATTTACATTTTTTACCAACCAGTAATTGGACACCGGCCCTTATACTGTTTGTTTTCAGAATTAAAATTAAAACGTTAATGCGGAACACATTTATACCACACACTGATCTGTACACTTTTTAGAAATATTTTTTATTGTAATTTTAACCCTGCTATTAACAAAAAAAAACAAAAATCTTACCCCCTAAGTAAAGTGCGAACTTTTTTGTCATATATTGCATCTAAAATAATAATAATAATATATAATAATAATAATTGTATAAAGCGGCATCTAATGATTTGACTTTAAGGTAACTATTTATAGAATTCTTGTTTTTTAGTATTAATGTTAATTATCCAATAACTGGTTACTTTACCCTTATACATATATATAATATATATATACATATAAATATAACTTGTGTCTAACTTTATTATATTTTTTTGCAGATCCCAATCTTAAGCTTGTTTGCTTTCATCAAACCGGATACCAATGAATACAACAGTTAAGTGAAATAGACATTTAAGCGAAATCCCTTAAACCACCTGGTATGAAGCAAAGAAAAAAAAACCCACCGACAACAGTAAATTAACTCGCATGGCGCCCAACACGACCCTCATCTTTAACCCAAATGACACGTCAAACATCACGGAGCACCTCGTTTCAGGATTCACGCCGTTCGAAACCGCCATCATCACCATCATGCTGGTTATAATCATTATAGGTAAATCTACACTGCGTTTCAAAATAATTGTTCATGTTATACATGGGGCAAAATTTGCCAAGTGTACCAGGTGAAAAAAAATTTTGTCACCGATTTTGTTTAAACTTTATTTATTTGTTGTTCTTATAACGAAGAATCATAGCATAATTTTTTTTTGCTCTAGGATTGTTCATTCAAGAGTTATGGATTATTGAAATTTATCGATTTTTTACTTTTTGGTGAAATCGCTTTTTAAAAATTCATAACTTCTGTTCATCTCTTTATTAAATATTTCAATTTAACCACCTACTTTTCAATGGGCTATACCGTTTTTGCAAAAAAAAAGCAAAATTTAGCATTTTTTGAAACAATGTGTATTTTTTTAATTTTTTTTAAAATAGCATGAAATTGAAGTTTATTATGTTACCTTTGAATAAAAAAAAAAATTTAGAGTGGGCCCGACATGTACAAGGGAAGTTTTTCATATTTGAATGCGTGCGGGTCTATAGCCATCCAATAGCTACTACACTGCCGTATGCGTTTATACCTAGTAGATGCGAGTAAACGAATACAAAATAATAATTTAAAATGTAAAATTATGTTTGAGTAGTCAATGATGTATTTTAAATATTTACACTGCCGCACGATATAGTTTTTTAACTGTTTTTTTTTGCACAAATTGTTTAAGCATGTGTCTACATAGATTTCGCAAGGAGGATCGATGATATTAAATAAAAAATTTATTGTTATAACCATAAAGGCTTGCCTATAAGCTGAATGGCGCCTATTTGTATTCGTTTACTCGCATCTACTAGGTATAAACGCATACGGCAGTGTAGTAGCTATTCGATGGCTAGACCCGCACGCATTCAAATATGAAAAACTTCCCTTCTACATGTCGGGCCCACTCTAAATTTTTATTCAAAGTTAACATAATAAACTTCGATTTTATGCTATTTAAAAAAAATTAAAAAATACACATTGTTTCAAAAAATGCAAATTTTTGCAAAATTTCAAAAAAAAATTGCTAATTTTTTTTTGTTTGCAAAAATGGTATAGCCCATTGAAATGTACGGAAAAAATCATTTAAGGTGGTTAAATTGAAATATTTAATAAAGAGATGAACAGAAGTTATGTATTTTTAAATAAAAAGCGATTTCACCAAAAAGTAAAAAATCGATAAATTTCAATTGAATTTCTTGAATGAACAATCCTAGAGCAAAAAAATTTTATGCTATGATTCTTCGTTATAAGAACAACAAATAAGTAAAGTTTAAACAAAATCGGTGAGAAAATTTTTTTCACCTGGTACACTTGGCAAATTTTGCCCCACATAGAGGTGTAAAAAAACGGTTTTTTTCAGATGTGTTTTTTTCAAATCCGCTACAATAAAGCATATTCTGTCAATAAATAACATCAATCTTAAAAAATGGAGTAATTTTTCAAAATGAAATTTTGAGTAAAATGAATATTAATAATAAAGTGAAATTTAGAATGTATTTTTCAATATTGAAAATTTTGACCGAGACTAAAAATTCTGATTTCTTATTATTTGGTAGTACATATAAGAAACCAATAGAAATGTATAACTTCTACACTAATAGAAAAAATTAAAGGATAAAAAAAATTCCAAATTTGTTGCGATTTTTCGGATAGCTACATCTTCGTTAAAAATGGCCGTAAAAAAGGCAATTTGAAGCTTGAAGTTTCTAGTTTTGAGATTTTTAGATGAAAAACGTGCAAGGCTCAATCCTAACGAATACCGTAATAAAAAAATCGAACTTTTTTTGGCTTTCTTTTTTGGTCCAGGGAATGTTCTGACCACCAATGAATGAATAAATGTTCTACAAGAATTGGCTATTGTTTACTTGAAAAAAAAATTCCATACATACATGAGTTTGAAAACTCATGAAAAAAATGCTTTTGGTAGCTTTTTGAAAAATCAAGCGCTGAATCAAAAATATTATATGTAGTTACTTTTCTTAGGACCAAATTAAAACAAGCGCGGCCCTTATTGGTCAATTCGGTGGTGGTGGCGCGTGCTTACATTTACTAAATATCATTTAGTGGCTTATTTTAGTCCATGAACTGGACTGGAAACATAAAAAATTAGGCAAATGGGACTAATCTTGAAAAAAAACTAAAATATGAAAAAAACGCGATCGACAAAATAAGGAACAAATTTATTTAAAAAACGGATTTTTTTTTCAATTACGCACATTTTGATGTACAATTTTCATATTTTCCGCCATTTTTTAGAATCTCAGACGTAATCGGCCATTTTTTTTTAATTGAACGGCTTTTTGGAGATTCTAATGAATTATAAAATTGTGATTCCAGCAATATGCACATTTATACTTTTGGGCTGATAGTTTCGGAGATATTAATTATTAAAAGTGGAAAATTTATAGTTTTTAATAATGTTTTGATGTTTTATAGTTTTTATTAAAATACTTTTTAATGGGGTTTTGATAAAATTAAAAAGTGTTCTCCAAATATGAGATGAGAAAATCCTCAATGGGCAGTAGAGGCAAATTTCCAATACCGGCAAAAAGTGAATGCTGGAAAATCGGATCAAAAGTCCTTTCTTCTTTGCCGAGAATATGACAGTAGAGGAAAGTCGCCTAATTTCAGATACCTTTTCAAAATAATCAAAATTTTTTAGATAAAATAATTATTTAATGCTTTATCTATTGGCTAAATTTGAATATCAAAACATTTTTATTACAAAAAATGTTTACAAAAAATGAGGTTTTTGTAGTTTAATTGCAATTTTTTTAAATTTAAAATTGGGCTCCCAATTTCGGAGAACCTATCCGAAATTTAAAAAAAAACTTTTTTTAGTAACAACATATTTATTAGTCCATGCATAAGTCACACATATATATATATATATATATATAAACATATATTCCTTAGGCGACTCTAAATGTTGGAATTTGTTGAGTTCATAATTTTGGATTCCTAATTTCGGATAGGGCAAATTGAGAAACGTGAACCATCCGAAATTAGGCAACTTTATACTTTTGCGTTTATTTAAATAAAATCATTGAAAAAATTTCGTAGTTTTGATAAATACAATGTCTTAAACAAACATTTACCTTGTCCAGGTAAAAAATACAAATTTTTACAACGAATATTTATAAAAAAACACGGCTTAAACTATGACCAAAAAAAAACTACAAAACGTGGTTTCGATGTTTACCACTGCCATCTAATGGAGAGTGATTAGTATCATCTAAATAACACTGGATATGCTTGCTTGGACTTTTTAGATTTCATTAGAGTCAATTTCCGTTTAATGATTCGATTAGTTTTAAAGATACACTACTATCCTAAATTAGGCGCCTACTTGAAATTAGGCGACTTTCCTCTACAAATGTATTTGGAATTTTTCCCGATCTACCAAGTGATACCATTTGGTTTCAACAGGACGGGACACTTCCGCACTATGCGCGTCCTGTCCCTACTTTTTTGAATACATGTTTTTCTAAGAGGTGGATTGGCAGACGAGGACTGCAAGATCTCCAGATATCACCCCTCTTGATTATTTCTTATGGGGCTACCTTAAATCGAAGGTCTACATTAACAGACCACAAAACTTAAAAAATCAAATTCGTAAAGAATGTCGCTTTATTAGCGCAAAAGTCATCCAAAACGTTTTCAGATAATTTTCGGATAGGCTTGCTTACTAAATTTTTTAATGGCGAACTTTTAAATTTAATAATAACCAAAACTATCATCCCAAAAGGTGCATATTGCTGATTCAGAATTTTATAATCTATTATAATCTGCAAAAAAAGACGGGGTACCATTTAAAAAAACGGCCTATGACGTCCTAGCTTCTAAAGTTACATATTTCAAGAGTCTTTTCTTTGTTTGAAAATTCAAAGCAGATTTTGATATGGGCTAGATAGGTTTAGGACCTATTTATTTCAGGGTTCGAAAATACATGATATTTATATAAATATCATATCAAATGATATATATCTTTATATTTAGGAATCTTTATTTTAATAACATTGATTCTGACATTACCTTCAGACTCTTCAGGTAATGTTGGTTCCCATGCCCATTCAAGGTTGGTTTTCTTTTTGTCTGTACTTTGATTCATGCACTTAAACATGACGACCAATTTACTGGCTTAATGGTTTCCTAAGCGATTTCGTAAATCAGATTGGACCAAGCCAAAAGATGAAAATGTTCTTTTAATACCTGCTATAGATGCCACTGCAAAAATGCATTTTTGTCAAGTCAATCTGAGTCCAATACAGGAACCGATTTCCACCAAGTTATTGGAGGAAATGATCCCCAAAATAGTACTTTGGAAATGGGCTTACATTTAATATGAGAGACATAACAAATGGAACAAAAGAACTGTTAATTGTTTAAATACTCATTTTTTAGTAGATGTTAGAAATCCTTACTAAAACTTAAAATTGGCTTTCTATTTTTTTATTGTCTCAAGTGGCGTGTTTTTAAGGTATTTTGCAGTATGTGATTTTGCTCCTGTTTTAGTAGTATTTACCAAGGATGACTCACCATTTTGGGTTATAATACTACAACATTCCTACCAGAGGTTCGTTATGAACATTGCTCCATCCATCCATCTAATGACATACAAACTGTTTGTCCCTCTAATGTATTCCTACACTCCTTTAAAATATTATCATACACTTGGTGTATTCATCATTCTTCTCTATTGTTTTCTTTGGCTCAGTCCCACTGTGGAATTATTTGCCAGCTCTTCTCCGTGGCTTGATACTATGTTAACAGCATGGGCGTACTGAAAATTTTTCCGACGACTAGAATTGTAGACAAAATTTTTTATTTAATAAATAAAATTAATGAATATATCGGATATATATCAAGCAATAAATATCATGATATATATCATTATATATATTTTAAAACTGTCGATTTTTTGAACAATTTTCGTTAACACATAAAAAAATTGCAAATCTTATTAATTTTGCACTTTTAGGACTTTTCCACTCATGAACATAGACATGAAGACTAAAAACGTAAATATTTATTTAGAATGTTGAACTTGGTCATCTCTCATTCTTCTGCGTCTCTCACGTTCTGCTTGTCTTTTAGCTTCGTTGGTCAACTTGTTTCGTGGTTTTGTCATTTTAATTAATTTCCCACTGAAATTAAATATTTTAAATTGGTTACATGTAAGGGACCCGAAAATGACGAGCACGGTAATGATGATTTTAAGGTTAGAGTGTTTTACAATGTGTATTCGAAAATGTAATGAAATTTTCAAGTTACCATTTGCTTTTTGTTAATGCAAGACTACTTTGTATTAATGTAAATATTTTGTATGTCCATAATACTTACCCCGACAATGACGGACTTTGACGTAACAAGCTGTTTTCGTTTTCATTCGGCGCACGTCACAACTTTATGGTTTGACATTTGCTAGTGAACGTTAGACAGGCAGGATATTTCCATATAAGACGTTTGAAAACTTCCGGCTTTTCCGAATGTATCGCGTAATTAAATATGATATTAGACACATTTTAAGTAGCCACGGCAATTATGCTCATGGGTGTGAACAAAGTTTAAACGGCATTAAAAGAAAAGTTAACATTTTAAAATGCAATTTCTTGCTTGCATTGTATTATTTTGTATTTTCTTCGTCTGTGTTAGACAGGATATTGCAAGATTTAATTTGTAAATAAATGTAAGAAAATAATATGTTGTTGTTCTTCGAATGTGAACAAGGCACGGTAATGACGTTTGCGACACAAAAATTAAAATATATTTTTTACTATGATCGTTTAGACTAAAATAAGTAAGGAATCAAGTAAAAATACAGTAGAAACCACCAATATATGAACTTGACTCATCGGGTGCCGAACATATCTCAGACATGCTAGCAGTAATGTTTTACTTGTCTTGTACATTCGATGCAGCGGTAAATGTACTCACACGTAGGTTTTTAAGCATCCGGTCTAAAATGCGCCATCTGTGATGTAAAACTGCCTAGGTGTTCGACAAAGATGGACATATGACGCGTGTCCTAGCTTGTTACTTAATTTTGTTGGAATTCAGTAGAGCTCGTGTTTTAGGCAATTTATTTTATTTTATTACATAGTAAGGCAACCAACTCTACCGTCGGCCATTTGTTTTTATATGTCATATGATCTTTGTTTTTGCATATCGTGTTTCTGCTGTGTGTTTACGGATTAATAATCGTTTTAAACGTTGTAGTGGCAGTGGTTTATATTATGTAACACAGGTAGATGTCGTATAAAAATCCTTACCTAGAAATTCTAGGCTAGAATACAAAAATATTTTTATTATATAAATTTTGTACTAGTATTAGTTTAATACATTCTGAAGAAGCTACTGTGTACCGAAACAACTGTCAATATTTAATAAATTTCGTGAAACTAACGCAAGTTGTTTTTATATCCACACAATTTAAATATCTTTCACTTTGTACCTGACCTGCGTAAACATTTTGGTTTTTTTGTCACCAATTCTGAAATATTTGCGTTTACAGTTAAAAGAATAGTATATTCTGTAACAAGTTTGGAATACGGCATATTCCGCTCGAGTGAAAAGTTTGTCACACGAGCCGAAGGCGAGTTTGACGGTTTCACGAGAGGGGAATGTGCCATTCCAAACGTGTTTCAGACTATACTTTTTCTACGTTTCCAAAAAATACCATAGACAAAGAATTTAATTGGAAGAAAGTGAGGTTGGATCGGTCTAAAAATTTGTTAGATTTTAAAAACAGAGATGTCGCCACGAGTGAATATTTCATTAAAGTTAAAAGAAAAGTTTATTTATTAATTATTTTCTAAGAAAATTACATTTTATTTAATTATCGTAGATGTTAATTATTAAAATTTAACTTTAAAAGCAAATATATCAGAAGTATAGCAACCAACATTACACTCAAGATTTTTTACAAATACCCGTTATACAGCACTGCACTGGACCGTGACCTTCGATAGATTACTTCGTACGATTGTGCCTGATAAGTCACGTTCATATATTCGTGGTTTCTATTGTAGTTAATTAAACTAGACATCAAGTATTTTATTTTCAGTGGAATATTAACTTTTGAAATAATAAGCCAGAACCGATTGAATTACACTTTTGAAATATCCTCTGAACCCTGATTTATTTATAAAAAAATCATTACTATCTTAGGTACCATCGTGGGCAACATCTTGGTGTGCGTGGCGGTGTGCCTGGTGAGAAAGCTGCGCAGGCCGTGCAACTACCTGTTGGTGAGCCTGGCGATCAGCGACCTGTGCGTCGCCATCCTGGTGATGCCGATGGCGATGTTCTACGAGATCAACGGCAAGTGGATCTTCGGCGAGATCGTGTGCAACATCTGGGTGAGCTGCGACGTGCTCAGCTGCACCGCCTCCATCTTGAACTTGTGCATGATCAGCGTCGATCGCTATTACGCCATCACGAAGCCGCTCGAGTACGGCGTGAAACGGACTCCCAAGCGCATGATAATCTGGGTGATTTTGGTGTGGTTCTTCGCCGCGTGCATCAGCCTGCCGCCGCTGCTGATCCTCGGCAACGAGCACTCAGAGGAGGAGGAGAACGGGAAGATGAACAACGATGTGTGCATTGTTTCGCAGCACATTGGCTATCAGCTCTATGCCACCATGTGCAGTTTTTATTTTCCACTTACAGTAAGTAATTTATCTACACTGTTCAAAATTTCATGACCATTTTAACACCAAATTAACACCATACATGGTCTATATCGATACAAACCAAAATGGTGTTAAATAAGGTTCGTTGGTCCGGTGTAAATTCAAATACTAAAATGGTGTTAATTTAACTTTCACACAGTATTAAAATAAATTTTACCTGGTGTAAATTGAACTCCTTTTCAGTGTTAAATATTATATGTTTGTGGTCAAATTAAATCATACTACACAGAAAAAAAGGAAAAAAAAGGAAACAGGAAGTTCCTTGACGCATTTCTAGTATATTACCAGTGGTATTATTCCAGAAAATGGAACCTTCAACTCGCTTGAGATAATGTTTTTAGTGCGTTCCACTAACTTACAATACTTCAAGTATTGACAGATGTTTCCACCTATTTAAGGTCTCTTTAGTATCGAATAACTTGTAGTGTCACACCAAAGCAAAGGATTACCTGAGTTTATATATTCTTCATGTAAGTCAACAGAGGCGAGATTTAAGAACATTACGTGATCCACACCGCCTTTGCCGCGATCGGTACACATTTTCAACCATAATTCATGGTGTTATTTTAACACCACTTGGTGTTGGATTTTGACACCATTTTAAGATTACTTTTTACACCACAGATATTTTAAACAGTGTAGTACCTACAAAGAATGCATAATTTGTCATCTAGTATTTACTTTTAACACAACCTGCTAAGATCGTCTTTATTTCATCCACCAATGCACCAAATAAATAACTCATCAATCATTAATGTAGGAAAATTTAAAGGAACGGAGATAAATTTCTATTTTTTCCCCATAACTTGTTTTTTTTTTCGAATAAATTTAAACGAAATCTATTGAAAAATGTTAACTAATACACTGTTTAAAATATCTGTGGTGTAAAGAGTAATCTTAAAATGGTGTCAAAATCCAACACCAAGTGGTGTTAATATAACACCATGAATTATGGTTGAAAATGTTATATACAGCAAACACCAAAACGGTGTTTATCTAAAAATATTTGAGAAGTGCACCTACACAGAAAAAAGGAATAGTTCATTTAATTAATTAATTATTATTTAATTAATTTAGTTGACCCATAAGTATTTATTTATGTATTTTTTTTATTTTTATCAACTGTGGGAAGGTTAATATAAACAAAGATTAGTCTGACGGTACTAAACCAGATAGTTATTTTTTTTTTTTAAATGGGTTAAATTAACCCAGAAAACTTTAGTGAAACCCAGCCGCTGTATGGTTCACTTTACTAAATATGTTGTTTGTAAAATAAGAGTTACTTTAACCTAAAGCACTCTGTTAAAACGATTAAAACAATTTGCCGTGCATTCCCGGTTACGTAGTGTGTACCGATTGCGGCAAAGGCGGTGTGGATCACGTGATGTTCTTAAATTTCGCCTCTGTTGACTTACATTAAGAGTATATAAGCTCAGGTAGTCCTTTGCTTTGGTGTGACACTACAAGTTGTTCGATACTAAAGAGACCTTAAATAGGTGGAAACAGCTGTCAATACTTGAAGTTTTTTAAGTTGGTGGAACGCACTAAAAACATTATCTCTAGCGAGTTGAAGGTTTCATTTTCTGGAATAATACCACTGGTAATATACTAGTAATGCGTCAAGGAACTTTCTGTTTCCTTTTTTCTGTGTAGTATGATTTAATTTGACCACAAACACATAATATTTAACACTGAAAAGGAGTTAAATTTACACCAGGGAAAATGTATTTTAATACTGTGTGAAATTTAAATTAACACTATTTTAGTACTTGAATTTACACCAGACCAACAAACCATATTTAACACCATTTTGGTTTGTATCGATATAGACCATGTATGGTGTTAATTTGGTGTTAAAATGGTCATAAAATTTTGAACAGTGTACAAAGAATGCATAATTTGTCATCTATACTATAGTATTTACTTTTAACACAACCTGCTAAGATCGTCTTTATTTCATCCACCAATGCGCCAAATAAATAACTCATCAATCATTAATGTAGAAAAATTTAAAGGAACGAAGATAAATTTCTATTTTTTCCCCATAACTTGTTTTTCTTCGAATAAATTTGAACGAAATCTGTTGAAAAATGTTAACTAACAGCTTAGTTTGTTTTGCAAAGCTTCATATCCTTTTGAAGCCTATATATAAACCCAAGACATAAAATTGCGTTTTTGCAAAAAATGGATTATACATTTAAATTTGTTTTAAACATTTAATGATCAGAAAAAATAATAAGGATTAATGTTTTCAATAACATGTGTTTCCTCCACGAGCTCTTATGACTGTAGTCATCCGTCTTCCCATACTTCTGATGAGGTTATCGATCATTTTTTGAGGTAAATTCTCCCATATTTCAATTAAAGTATCTTTTACCTCTTCTCTGTTTTGAACAGCAGGAATTCTTAATCTAAGTCGTCTACCTAGCATGTCCCATACATGTTCTCTAGGATTTAAGTCCGGGGAGCATGCTGACCAATTCATTGTCGGTATTTTCATTTGGTTTAAATAGACAGTTACACAATGAGCCACGTGCGGGCGAACATTGTCTTGCTTTAGGAGAAAATTGTCTCCAATATGTGGGGCAAATGGTACTACATGATCTTGCAGAACATCTCTTATGTACCTATCTGCAGTTAATGCGCCACCAACTTCGTGCGGGCCCCTAAACATATGCCACCAAACACCATAATTAGACGTCGATACACTCTTTCCCTGCCATCGATCGAATTTACGCAGAAACGGCTCTCATCCGTAAACAAAACTCGACCCCACGTGTCTCCAACGTGTAACATTTCGATAGATCGTCGATTTTGATTTTCCAAACATCTCCGGCAACGGGTCTAGGAAAATTTATCGTCAACAATTTACCGACAGCAATTTACCGCCAGCAATTTACCGCCAGCAACTTATAGCCGCACCAATTTATCGCCGCAACAGTTTACCGCCAGCTATTTATCGTAGAAACAATTTATCGACAGAAATTCACCGTTAGCAATTTGCCGCCAGGTATTTACCGCCTCAACAGTTTAACGCAGCAACAGTTTACCGCCAGCTAACCGGATTTGTTTTGTGCATTTTCACGTTTTTTAAATTAATCATAGGCAAAATTTTAACGCTTCCTTGTTAGAAATTTCAACAACACAACCCTACCGACCCCATTGGTGAATTTCTGTCGATAAATTGTTTCTACGATAAATAGCTGGCGGTAAATTGTTGCAGCGATAAACAGTTGAGGCGGTAAACTGTTGGCGGTAAATACCTGGCGGTAAATTGCTAACGGTAATTTGCTGGCGATAAATTTTCCGGATACGCTCGGCAACATCCCTAGGGATATCAGTCGGTGCTAAATCACCCATTGTGGACTTTTTCACTTTTATGAAAAAACACCTTTCCCAAAGATAATATATATTATATATTATCTTATCTTATAATATATACAATATATATTATCTTTGACCTTTCCCACTTAATGAAACAACTAAGGGATTTTTGACGTTAATTTCGATTTTGACGTGGACTAACTTGATCAAAATATTCAAAATATACAAAAAATGTACTAATAAATTCAAGCCTAGGCCCTACAATACAGTACAAAAAACTAATCTTGCAGCACAACTAGAAAAACCAAATTTTTTATCCGTTCCTTTAAATTTGCCGGTGTGTGTAGATGGAACACCAATTTTAATTTTTAGGTAAAAAAATATTCTTGTTAATTTGTTAATTCAGGCCCACATATATTTATGTTAAGATTTCAACCAACTGTAATAGCTTAACTAATTGAATAAGTAGTTTGTAATTATAAGAAACATTTTGTAGATTTAATAACAAAATCCTACATCAAATTTAACCAAAATCAAATCATTAAATTATAAAGAAGTTTAGTACAATATATTTATCAGTACTACAACAACATTTACTGATGTATTTCGTAAATTTAACCCACTTGACTGTATCCCAGTTTGAAAACCAGTGATGGCATCTTTTTTTAGTACTTCACACTTCGCTCATTCGTTAAATAGGCATAAGAAACCGAATAACAATAATAACAGATTTCTGGTAATATATTATAAACACTCAGTCAGTTGTTACAAACACGTTACGAATTAGATAAAAGTAAACAGAAACATAAGTTGCAGCCGCTGAAGTTGAAGTTGAACTTGTTGATACGTATTGTCGGTGGTAAATGTTTGGACTGCCTGAAATCACGTGTACTTTTTCAAAAAAATAATTAACAAAATAATCTTTAAAATTAACAAAATGCTTACAAAATTGCATATTACCTTTAAACTTTCGGTAAAATATTTTTCTTTGTTGAAATAATTACAAAACATGGTGTTCTACAAAAAATTATGTTTTAATTTTACAAAATTAAATTAACAAACTTTAAACTTATGTTAACAACTCTAATTTTTTTTCAAGCGGCCATGATATACAACCTTATATGCATGTATAGAGATAGTTGAAGTGCGTCTTTTTCATTAGCGGCAGACAAAAAACTCAAAAAAGCCTAGGGATAGAAGTAAATCCATAGGTGACTCAATAGACGTCAAATAATAAAATTAATTTAGCATTTCATACTAAGCAATCACGATGTATTTATTATATTAATTATAATCGCACGGAATATTTAGTGATTATTTATTAAATTTTAATTGAACGAAATAAAGAAAAACTAGTTTATTAGTATAATATTATGATGATAGACGAGTCGCCAATGTCGGAATTTCAAACAAATGTCAGTACGTCAAAATTAATTCAAGCGCAGCATTTTGACAGAGCTGTGTTTATTTTTAGTTTAGGATATTTATCGGCATTGTAAGTAAGGGTTATAAGTTTTTTTAGTTTTTATCAATAATTTCTAATGCTTTTAGCCAAAATTTTATCCCACATGATTTAATTGAAGAGCTGCAGTGCGTGTAATTGTACATTTAATGTAAATTTTGGTTATTATATTTATATTACGCCCTTGAAAAAAAAATAGTATATGTTATTTGGAGTAGAAGCTCTTTTTGTGCTTCGTACAGTTGCCTGCCTCAGCTACGCTTCGGCCGTCAATCTCTGTACTCACCACAAAAAGAGTCACTTCTACTCCTTATGACATAATCTACTATTTTGTAACAGTTTACTCTCTAAAAATGAATTAGTCAAAGATGACTATTTACTATGTACAGTTATTAGTGGCTGCTTTTTTACTTAAACCATGGTTAACCATGGGATACCATGTCCCCAACATTTAACAGCCAATACTTGTGTAAAATTTTCCCCTGAATCCGAAAATACCGTAAAAGATTATAAAAGTAAATCAGTTTTTGAAATATAGTCAATTTCATATTATATGGAACTTTTGATGACATTTTCGGATTCAGGGGACAATATTACATAGAAATTGACTGCTAAATATTCGGGATACAAATTGTTATTGACGAAAATCATTAGTGGCTGCTTTTTCGCTATGACAATTGGTCATTTTGGACTAATTCATTTTTAGAGTTTTAAGTATATAATAAAATAAACTAAATAAAGCTTTTATTAATAATAATATTAGAAAAAATGTTATGGTTGCTATTCAGTCTTTCATGTTACTAACAAAGGCTTATAATATAATTTACTATATCAGATATTTTATTTAATAGAATAACTTCAAAGCTTAGCTTTGCTGCTCTTCAAGTAGGTAGTGCTTCTTAAGGTTATTGAAAGGACTTCGGATAAAATGCATTTAAAATAACTTCAAAGTAATATTGTGGATTTCAGTTGCTTATGGAAAAATTATACTGCTGATGAAATAATTACTTTCCTATTTTTATTGTGTTCATTGTGATTAATACAGGTATTTTACATTAATTTTAATAAAGGCCGAACTTGTTAGCAGACTTTGATAAACTTAGTAAATATCGGATAAAGCTGCATCCATTAACTCCCGCTTTTCGAGTCTAATCTAAAAGTTCCGTTCGACCTAATTTCCTTAAATTTTATTGCAGGTAATGATGCTGGTGTACTATAAAATATTTAGGGCGGCCCGCAGGATAGTAATGGAGGAGAAGCGGGCGCAGAGTCACCTGGAGACGCCGTGTTACCTGGAAATTAGCGTCAAAAATGGCGGCGGACCGCCGGAAAATAAGATCTCCAGTCAGACCCCCTCGCCGGCTAACCCCACCAAGGTCAATCATAGAACAAGTTCAGCAAGCACAAATACAATGGTAAGTGAATTTTTTATCAAATTATCAGGATAAGTGATCTCAATTCATGGTTAAGCTTTTTTTTGTTCTACCAGATATACCAGGTTTATTTTCTTGGTATATTATACATGTCTATAGAGAATTGTAACTGTTCGGAAGCATTCGGAAATAGTCAACATCTGCCTCTTAGGGATTTATTTCAAAATATGTTTATATTTAGAATTTACTACTAGCTCGTATTGAATTAATTATTTTGGGTGTATTACATACGAGGTGTGTTCAGAAAATATCGGGAATTTTCGTTTTTTGAAACAAATATTTATTTATTATTTTGTTCAAAATTTAACGATTTTAGAACAAATTTTGCTGCCACGCGTTTTATACCCAAAACATTCGAAAAAATTTCATGGGATGAGCCAATCGATATACCAACATCATCATCGACTTCTCTGACGGTTTATAACCATTTCTTCCACTTTTTCCATGTTTTTATCGGTTGTTAATGTGCGTGCGTTCGGGGCGTTCTTCATCTTCAACGTCTTCACGGCCATCTTGGAAACTCCTATACCACTTGTGAACTCTTGTTTTACTTATAGCAGACTCACTATAGACCTTTGTTAACATTTCACAGAATTTATTTAATTTTTTAAGCAAAATTGGATACAAATTCCTTGATCCATTTCTTTTAACGAACGAAAAATCGCCGAGCTCATAAAACACGTCTAACCTTAGCGGCTGCCACAGACAAAGTAAACAATGAAAACAGCTAAAGTTTTTATCATACTTCGGGGGCATGTATACCAACATAATAAAGAAAATTTTATGACAACCGGACCCTCCGAACCCGCGAAATTTAACAATTCCCGTTATTTTCTGAAAACACCTCGTATGTAACCCGGTTACATTGTTACCGTATTTTTATTAAATCGTTCATTTTTTAAAAAAACTTTTAAAAATAACTTTTTAGCCTAAAAATAAAATTATTAAGTTTTAGTTTTTAAAACTTACTTAAGCAATGATTCAATACACTATTCTACATCATAAGAATAAAAAACACATTTTAATACTTGTTGTACGTTTATGTGTTAAAATTAAAAAAATATATTTAGTAGATATATATATTTGGTATATTTTTTGGAGGGAATTGAAGGCTTTACAAAAAAAGTATCTCATCATTTTATGATAAATTAACTCTTTTAATCAAGGTAAAAGTTGAATTTATAGAAATTTTCCAGATTTTCCTACTTTTTCAGCGAAACTAAATTTATGGTAAAATTTAGTAGGACCCTTTATTTAAGAAAATATTCTGCTAAAACAATGCGCAAAGAAAGCGGCATTTTTTTTAAATTATAAATAATAACATTAATAACACTGTGCAACATTTTCGGAAAAAATTAAGATGATGGGGTTTTCATGAATTATAGCGTTTACAGAATGTTTAGGTTGATTCTGGTTTTTTTTAATATCAATTTAAAGTTTTAGTAATTCTGGATCCAGAAGTATCGTAAAATAATAAATAATTAGTACATAAAAGATAATTATTGGTTTTGTATACTGTTTTATAAAGTAATAACAATCAAATAAAGAAAAAAATAATTAAATAAAAAAATAATGAGAACAATAAAATGCAATTTTTTTTTTAATTGAACCTTTTTCTGGATTTAATATGTTTTAGTGCAATTTCTTAGTTCTTTCGCTTCTGCCATAACTATAATTATGGTAATTATTATTATTATATTAATTATTAAAAACATATTCTTTTGAACCAATAAAATGAATCAACATAAAAGATATAACAAATTTTATTTATAATTTTATGCCAAAATTTCCATTGCCATAGACCAACAAAAATCCGCCAACATCGAATCAAACCTCTTTCCTCTATAACGATTTTCCATTTCCATTACTGTTTGATGCTCTTCTGATTCGGTGGACGGCAGATTTTCGAACAGGTCAAGATGTTCATGGAGCAAATGTACTTTTAGTGACATGTTTACACCCATTTTTAATTTTTGTTTTATTTTTTATTATTTCTTTTTAATTTATTGTTATGACAACAATTTCCTACCAGTTAATTGGTTTAAATTAATAAATAACGGTTTTTCGGGTTCCAAAATTAATAATACTTAAAATCGATATTAAAAAAAAAACCTGAATCAATCTAAACATTCTGTAAACGCAAAAAGGCATTCTACGAAGGCGTAGAAGGGCCAACAAAAATTTTACAAATTTTAGCCAAAACTAACTTTGATTTTTGCAATTTCTATTCTATAATTGTAACTTGAACCTACAATTGTAACTTGAACCTACAATTGTAACTTGAACCTACAATTGTAACTTGAACCTACAATTGTAACTTGAACCTACAATTTTAACTTGAACTTACAATTGTAACTTGAACTTACAATTGTAACTTGAACCTACAATTATAACTTGAACCTACAATTGTAACTTGAAGTTCAAGTTACAATTGTAAGTTCAAGTTACAATTGTAAGTTCAAGTTACAATTGTAAGTTCAAGTTACAATTGTAAGTTCAAGTTACAATTGTAGTTGCAATAGACTGGGCAAAAAAAACAACTATTTTTTTTTGAAAAGTATATCGAAAATATGGTTTGGGGTGACAAAAAAAATTATTGTGAAAGTTTGAGTCCATATTATTAATATTAAGATTTTTTTTTCCTGAGCGAGTCTTTGTCTCAGAACTCCCAAATCATTGTTTAACAAAATTGACTTAAAAATATTTTTTGAAGAAATTGAATGTTCTACAAAAAAGGTTCAATTGGAATTTCCCGTCAGATGAACCGTTTTCTTACAATCATGCCTTAAAAATTGGTTTAGTTTTACAATTTGATCTTTTAACTTTGGAATATTGCAGTGGCGGCTGGTGGATTTTGGGTATACCAACATTTCAGTTATTAGACATGGGACCCACACCAAATTTATAATAGTTTATAATGACATTAAATAGACAAGTTCGGCTCAAACAGAATTTAAATTGAAGTTGCGAAAAGAAGTTAGTTTTTCCTGTCGCCTCACCCGCCTCCAGGCCCCCCTAAAGTGGAGCAATTTATTATCTACTATATTTTATCGACAAATTTAAAATTTTATTTAAAAAATCCAAATATTACAGATTTTATTCGATTTTAAATTTTTATAATTTATTTTATTAAAATAAAAAAATATTTAAAATATTATAAAACCTGTAATATTTGGATTTTTTCAATAAAATTTTAAATTTGTCGATAAATTATACTAGATATTAACTTGCACCACTTTAATTTGAATTATCTCAAATAGGGGGGCCTGGAGGCGGGTGAGGCGACAGGAAAAACTAACTTTTTTTCGAAAACTTTAACTTAAATTCTGTTTGCGCCGAACTTGTTTATTAATTGTCATTATAAACTATTATAAATTTTGGTGTGGGTCCAATAACTGAGATATTGGTATACATAAAATCCACCAGCCGCCACTGGAATATTGTAATTAATGTAAAAATCAGTACCCTGAAAACTATAAATATTCTTATGGAAAATCAAATGCTCTACAAAAAAAGTCTTTTATCATTTTTGGCTAAATTCACTCAATCAAAAGTTATTCAAGGGTAAATTTCAAGTCAAATCGAAATTTTAACCTTGAATAACTTTTGATTGAGTGAATTTAGCCAAAAATGTCAAGAAGCTTTTTTTTGTAAAGCATTTGATTTCCCATAAGAATATTTATCGGTTTTTTATGGGTACTGATTTTTTACAAAATTCCAATTTAAAAGATCAAAATGTAAAAGTATACTAATTTTTAAGGCATGATTTTCAGGAAACGGTCCATCTGACGGAAAATTTCACTCTAACCTTTTTTCTAGAGCATTTAATTTTCTTAAAATAATAATTTTGTTAAACTCAATGGTTTGGGAGTTCTGAGATAAAAACTTGCTGAGGAAAAAAAAATTAAAATTGCGATGATAGACCTCTTAATATACCATATTTTCGATATACCTACTTTTCAAAAAAAAATAGTTGATTTTTTTGGCCCAGTCTAAGGTTCAAGTTACAATTGTAAGTTCAAGTTACAATTGTAGGTTCAAGTTACAATTGTAGGTTCAAGTTACAATTGTAAGTTCAAGTTACAATTGTAGGTTCAAGTTACAATTGTAAGTTCAAGTTACAATTGTAGGTTCAAGTTACAATTGTAGGTTCAAGTTACAATTATAGAATAGAAATTGCAAAAATCAAAGTTAGTTTTGGATAAAATTTGTAAAATTTTTGTTGGCCCTTTTGTACGCCTTCGTAGCATTCTTTGGATAGGAGAAAAAAAACCATTTTCAGAACTCCATCATTTTTTGTTTGTTTTGGTTTAAATTAATAAATAACGGTTTTTCGGGTTCCAACATTAATAATACTTAAAATCGATATTAAAAAAAAACCTGAATCAATCTAAACATTCTGTAAACGCTAAAACGCATTCTTTGGATAGGAGAAACGAAAACCACTTTCAGAACCCCATCATTTTTTTGTTTTGGTTTAAATTAATAAATAACGGTTTTTCGGGTTCCAAAATTAATAATACTTAAAATCAACATTAAAAAAAAACCTGAATATATCTAAACATTCTGTAAACGCAAAAAGGCATTCTTTGGATAGGAGAAACGAAAACCATTTTCAGAACCCCATCATTTTTTGTTTGTTTTGGTTTAAATTAATAAATAACGGTTTTTCGGGTTCCAAAATTAATAAAACTTAAAATCGATATTACAAAAAAAACCTGAATCAATCTAAACATTCTGTAATCGCAAAAAGGCATTCTTTGGATAGGAGAAACGAAAGCCACTTTCAGAACCCCATCATTTTTTTGTTTTGGTTTAAATTAATAAATAACGGTTTTTCGGGTTCCAAAATTAATAATACTTAAAATCGATATTAAAAAAAACCTAAATCAATCTAAACATTCTGTAAACGCAAAAAGGCATTCTTTGGATAGGAGAAACGAAAACCATTTTTAGAACCCCATCATTTTTTGTTTGTTTTG